AAGAACTATTTCCAATGCACGAAAATCCAAAAACCAATTATTATGTTGAAGTATTTTATTTGAGTAGTCAATCAACCACTTTAATACTATACAACAATGATCAGCGACCTATTACCAAAATCGAAGAAGAAAACTTTCTAGTCACTAGACCCTAATTATTCGTCAATATTAACTTTTTCGATGTACAAACCACATCGATCCATAAAATAGAGCTTTGTATAACTTAACAAGCCTCGTATAAGTACTTTTCAAATTAATGAAATTTAATTCAGTCTCTCGCAAATTTGACTATTGTTTTACTACATGAAAAGGTTAGCATTTCGTTCAAACTTTAACGCTCATACCTATAGATAAAATATATTTAACGATCTAAAAGTATTATATATATATTATGAAAAAATAACTAAAATAAATCGTGGTAAACGTACTAATTACTCAGTAGTAGGAAAAAAATAATATAAAAGAGTAGTATTATTGCATAAAGTACATTATATTTAACCTGCAACTCCAGTTAGTTACAATAAATGTATCCAAAATTAATAACTTACCTGGAATTTTAACTACCTAGTATTTTTTTCGATAAAATATATTTTATAGTATAAACACTCACTTTAAATTATAAATAACTTAAAAATTGATAAATTAATAAAAATAGATAATTTATTTTTTAATGTAAAATTTAAAAATAAATCACTTATCAGTTATCAGTAAACGAGGACAAATACAATATGAAGCTTTAAATTTTAACCAAGGACGTTAAGTTTTCAATGCCACAACAAAAGTTTGTACTAGAAACCTTCTTCGAGATTTGAACTAGTATGTCAACAAATTAGTGTATTATACTAATGATACTATCATTATACTATGAGCACACATGTTACAAAGCTTAATAATTGCAGGCTTTCAAACACCAAATATTAAAATTAAAAACTATAATTTAATCTAGCCTTTTGTTAGGTAATTTTAAATACATTGTTTTAAATTTTAACTCAGATAAACCGAAAATAAACGTAATTGTATAAATAATGTTGATTAATATCGTATTAATTTGAATATTTTTAAGTTTGCAATTTAAAGAAATAATAGTACAGAAATTAATAAAATGCATAGGTATTTAATTCTATGGATTAAGTGATATTTTTATATGATATATATATATATATCATATATATTTATATTTATATGATTGGTAATCATTTTTGATGTACTACACTCATAATTTTAACTATGCAAACACAATACGAAACAATAGTGCCTGGAATAAGCAAAAATTCCAAAGTTTTATATCTTCTATAGTTATATACTTTTATGCATGGTCATAATACGACGCATTTCAATATTGATCTGAATTCTTATAAACAATGCTTAAAGTTTAAAGTAAATTTCAGAGAAATGACTTCCGACTAACATGACTTTGTTCGCCTTTACAGTATTTAACTTTTGCGAGAGATAATATTGAAAATGAAATCAAATATCCCCTAAGGGACACAGAATTTACGCGAATATTGCTTTTCCACCCGCCTTCAATCTCCCCTAAGCTTTCGGTTGACTGTAGGTATAGCTACTCGTAAAATATACCCATCAAAACCCATTAAGTTTGACAGAGTAAATTTTTCTTTCCATTGACTTGAATAATTGATATCACTAGGAGCGAAAATACACTTGTAAAATAATAATGAAGACATTGTGAAGCCACTCGAAAAACATGGACGTTAATTTTTTAATACAACTTTGGATCTCAGAATCAAAATGTCTAACATAGTATTTGCTTAGGTTTCTACCTATTCGATGGTATTATGTTAACTTAAAAGGACGCCACGCCAGCATGTGTTGTCTGTCTTTACATACGCTTAAACTTAACATAACAAAAAATGTAAAAGCCTTATTCTTACTACGGTTTATTTGTATTGAAGCAAATTAAAATATTATAGAATTCATAGAAGAGAATATAAACTATAAACCCGAGTAGAAAACGTATTTTCCATTTTTTTTTTTTTTTTTTTTTAATAAATTATAACAAAATACTTACTTAAATATTTCATTTTTTCAAATGAATAAAAAACTTGTTTTTAAATATATAAAAGTTAAACATCTATATGAAAAATAAATTCTACTCTGATTTAATTATCAATACATATCCCCTATTCGATAACATTTATATTTTCTCTAATACTAACTATAATTAATAAATTACCTACTTAGTAATAAAAATCCTCGTAAAAACCGGTACCTACGTAATTTCCACATATGCATTACAGAAACGTCCTATTAAGAAATAAAATTTAACTTTAAATAGAATATAATATTATAATTATTCCAGTTTTATACCTTGAATATTATTAAATGAAACCTAACTTAATCCAACTTAACACGTACAATATTTTTAATTATTATACATTCAATTTATTTAGTTAATTTCAGTGTAAACTGGGAATTTAAGAATTTTATAATTCATAAAATAATTTAGTTATAAACTAAATATACTCTTTAAATTGGTTGTCAAAAAATAATAAGAAAGATTAATGTTGAATTTAAAAGTTCAAAACTTAAATTAACTTTGGCGATCTTACCAGTAGACAAGCCTTAACAAAAACTTTAAAAGTTTTAGCTAAAGAATATGTATAAATAGTTCTAAAACAAATTAAATACATAATTCAAGCAACACACATATACATGAGTATCTTAATACATAGAAACATTAACTTGTTAACAAAAATACAAATCTAACATAACTTATTAAATAAAATATTTCATAAACTTTAAACGCGGTTAATAAACAGACCCAAAACATTTTAAAATTATATAGGTACTAAAACAGTTTGCGTGAATTAGTGATTTATTTTAGTCAACAGTTTAGGAATACTAGGATTCAAACTAATTAACTAAAATATTATTGTAAAAATCCTAACTCCGTCAGAATATGTGCATGATGTGAATGTCAATTAAAAACCCTAAAAGCTAAATTAATTTAAAAATTTTAGTAAAACTACAATCTTGTTAGCTAAAATTTACGAAAATTTTACATATATTTCTCGAATTATTGGTACGATAGGTATTGAATTAGGCACTATCTTAACAAAAAAATTCAATCACAAAATAATACCTCAAAAGCTAAATCCATCACCTGTCAAATTATAAGATTATTTTTAAAACGTAAATAAATACAAAGCTTATAACTTATTAGTTATTAGACTCACTTTTACATTAAAATTTATATTGTTATTACTTATTATCGAGCTTATTATACTGTGTAAACTTTTGTCAAATCCAAGGTCTAAACAATCTCCTCTGTTTAAAAATATGACATTTAAAAGTATCAAATATCTGCTTGCATTTCGGTTCATTTTTTTACGTTTTTAATTTACTCAGTCATTGAATACATTTTCTACACTCATGTTTAAATCGTGATCTAACTCGACCTAATTATCCTAAATGACAAAGCAGTAGCGCACGTATATTTTTATGAAACGCTAATGTTTCTTTATCCCACACGTATACATATTATGTACTTAAATTATACTTATGAACGAATTTCTTCATTAGATAGCAAATAATAATATACAAATACCTACTATTATATTTTGTTTGTTTTTATTATATAATAATACACTACAATTCCATGCTTCATTATAAAAAAACTACCAATTATTTTAATCTGATTTATTATACTTAAGTTTTAATATTAATAATTATATAAAAATAATTAATATTCAAAATAAACTTTAAGTTACACATTTATAAACATCGTATATCAAGTAAAATATTCCTTGATTCTAAAATTGCCAATCTATCAAAACAGATTTTAAGAAAAAAAATGTAAAACTTTTATTATTAAAAATTATATTTTTACATTTAAATTTATTTACTTATAAAATTGACGTAGTTGAGAAACTTTAGCCATTAAATCAATAAAAATATTTTTGTATGAATCTAATTTAAAATGTTATTTTAAAAAACATTTACGAATTTTCGATTACCTTTAAAATATTTTATGTTGCAATTATATATTATAGTCAATCAATGAATAATAAATTCAAGTTTAAGATCGGAATTTTAATTATCGACAAAAAAACAAATTATTTTTCGTGCATCTTAATAAGTAAAGGTGATTGATATGATTAATTTCGTCCTAAAAAAAATTTAAAAATATAGTATATAATAATATATACCTACTAAGTTAGTTATTAGTTTTTTAGTAAAGAAATCTTTCAGTTTCAGTCACTGACTTATGACTTATAAAATTTAAATTTAAAATTATTCAGTCTTCAAACATCTGATACTTTGATACCTATACTAACCCTTTTCGACAAATTTCATATAAACATACTTTGTATTTGATAGTCTTTTGTAAATGAACATAACACAAACTATCTCATCACATTATGGTATTATACTCATGATATTACTGAAGATATTATGATTCAACAAAACACATGAGTATTAAATTACAACAATGTAATGTCATGTTACAAATTGAGTAACTAAACTAATTAGATAGTAATTATCACAGTTTTATTCATATAGATTTAGAAGAATACAATCTTCACTATTCGGTGGAATATAATAGAACAATTTGGTAGGTAGATTATACATTTTAATTACAATAATTATCTTATTAGTTATTACCCTATTAATTTGTGTTTTCAATTTTTATATTACAAAACGACTTAACTAACTATTTATTAAATATATTTAAACGTGATAGATACATAACAGGGAACTTCAAGATTTGCAAATACATCTTGGATTGGTGGCTTGGGAAGGAATTGTTTTGCGTGTGACTAAGACCAGACAAGTAAAATTACATTGTTAACATAATATAAATCATAGGTATACCTAGATAGCTACCTTTTTTAAATAGATTGTTACTTAACAGTTGACAACCTACTAATTAATGCTAAATTCCATTTAAAATGAATAATAAACAATGTTATTACTATATACTTAGATACCAAAGTACCTCTCTCTATCTATTAAAAAATGATCATTGGTAATATTACCTTTTGAGCTTTGCACATGGTGTTGATGGCTTGGACGTCGTGACTCGAATGCCTCGATTCATGCATACATACGGCACACACTGGCGTCTTGCAAACCATACAGTACATAGACAAGCACTCTTCTTCGTGTTCATTGCAAATGATGTCTCTGTTTCTAATTTTGTTCCTGAGTGCTACCTTGCCAACAGTCGGCTCCAGCAGGTTGTGTTTGGCCAAAGGTCCCCTGGATGGATGACAGTTGTCACGGCACGAGTCACAGTATAACACCTCACATTGCTCGCACAGCACAGTAGCATCGGCAGCTGGTTCGCATTCGCACAACTGACACTTGGGCACAATGTGCCTAAGCTCGCCGTAACGGTCAACAATATTTCTCATTGTCCTATACTTTGGCAGGTTGTGAGCTCCATTTTCGTCAAAGTACACGGTCTTCCTGCAAGCCGGACATGACAGCGAATACGAACCAGCCATGACCGGAGGGAACGCAATGATGCCTCCTCCGATATGATTGGATGTGCCCAGGTAACTATTCGGCCGGCTATTGCACACTACGCCACTGTCCGTCTCGCTGAGTATGGACAGTTTGTCTGACTCCGGATGAGAGTCGGACGCATGCGATTCGGCTGTACTACTGCCGCTAGTAGTCGAGTTACCGCTATTCTCTTGAGGTGCAGTTGGCTCCAGCGGCCGCTGTGCGTGTACCGCACAATTCAGGCACAACGCATGGTAGCAAGGCAACAATACTGGATTATTGAACAGCTGCTTGCAGGCGATGCAATGCAATTCGTCTTCCATCGCGACAGCGAAATGTACAATCACGGATAAAAGGATTTGTCTCGTTTGTTTTCGAGATCAGAAACAGTCGTCGTCTACGTGTCGATTGGTAATCGAAATAACTCACATCGCGGAAAAATCCCCCGACCGGCCAGACTATTTTACGAGAAAACTCGAAGAAAACGTAATTATATATATTAAAATAAACACTATGATACACCACGGTGCAGTTTCACAATATTACATGTGAATTGTATGTACTAACAGCGCGGAGCAGAAACACACGACGCGACGACACTCACGCTAGACAAAAACTAAGTGATCACAGTTGTGTTAGTTGATAGTTGATACGCTTGATGTATTATTGTTGTTGTGTTAGCCGGAGGAAAACGCAATGTTTGTTTACACGACACTAATGAACTCTGGCGGCGATCAACCGCACACCGTTCTCGCGTACAGTGTCCCCGACAAACTGCAATTTTATCCGAAAGCAAGAACGTTAACAAGCACGACAAAATTAATTTATATCATCAGGTCTTCGAGTTTATTCAAGTCGAAATGATCCATCGATCTCAAATTATTCACTGGAAAATAGTAATAAAATACATTTCATGTTATAAAGTACGTATATTTTCTTTTTGAATATATATTATGTCAATACGCAATTGTTTTCACCTGTAGCCGAATAGTCAGTAACGTTTGTCACACTGATGTAGTGCGGTCACGGACATCCAATGATAAAAATATAAAGATAACCATAAACTTTTGGATAACCATTAACCGCCTGTTCCTAAGATTTAATTAAAGATAATAAATAAATATTTATTATTTAATCAAGGACCAACTGGACCAAGGTGAATTGAATATAATTAATCTGTGCTATAAGCAAAACTGAACAAGACAAAAAAAGTAAGAACAATGTAGGGAACTAGAAAAGATAAACTTCTTTACATCATGTTCATAAACATTAGACTGCCAGTAAATTTAATCTTATAAATTAAGATTTTTTTTATCCTTATCAATAACTATTTAATAACAATAATATAATACCAATATGCATTATGCAAACATGCCTGATATACGAAATTACAGTCTGCTTCACGAGAAAATGATCACTTTTCGCAAATCTCGACTGACGGTTTCGGCGATGCTAGAGTAGGGTGACATACTGACATGCGCAAACACCGATGAAAATATGTCGGTGGACTGATTATTTTCTCGTAAAACAGACTATAGTATAAATGGAAGTAATTGTCCAAGTTGGGCCTTTACATCAACATATAATCGACGAGTCCCTCGTTTAGAATCTACTTGAACAAACAGAAAATTCACAACAAAAAACCGTCACATATATTTATTTAAAAATAACTCTTTGGTCACAGAACAAGTAATTAATAAATTGTATTTTAATACTCTATTTTATTCATTCTATTCTAAGTTCATGGCTTATTAGTTATTGGCATGGACAATAAACTTAATTATGTTATGATTAAACTGTTATTTTTAGTTTATAAGATGTGTAGCACATTTAATATAGTTGCATATTTAATTTTATATTTATCAACTAACCTTAACATGTAAAAGTAATAGAAATATAATCCTGTAATCATATTTACCATATCACATTGTATCATAAAAATTTAAAATCTAGATTTTAGATAATATACTAACAATCAGGTCTAATAAATAAAAATGAAATACAATTTAAACTTATGAAAAAATATATGAAAATTATATAGATAATAAATAATTTAAGATTTACTTAAGCCTGAAAATTAAAGTAAAATTACTTTATTTCAAAAAAATTTTGATACTTTAAAAAATGGCAAAAAATAAGCTACTTAACTTAAATAAATATTATTACAGTTAATATTTTTCTAAAAATGAGATAATAAAATTAACTATTTAAATTTTTCCCAAAAATATGTAAACAAATTTTAAATTTTATATATTCTGTGTTAAAAAATATATATTTTCCTATGCTTGTAATGTAGGTTTCTATTAATCACATGAGCTAAATTAACAATTAAAACAAAAGTTATCCCAATACCAGGTTTTTCTGTTACATTCTGTATTTAACAGTAAGGTGAATATGGTGTATGTCTTACGATTGTCATTTTTTATAAAATGTTATATGATCTAAGATAAAAATAGTAGTTATACATCCACCTTAATTAGAGCATTTCAATAGCTCTTTTACTCCTTACAATGAAGGTACTTGTATTCCCACATTTAAAAACTTGTGATTATTATAACTACTTTTTCTACTATTTAAGTGAAACTGAATGCATGATATAGGTAATATAGATTTTTAAAATCAATAGAATTAAGTAGGAACATTGATTATAAACACAATAACACTTTGAGAACCTATGTTTAAAAGATAAAAAATGCTTTGTTTTGAATATTTTGAGTTATTGTTTTATAATTTAAAGTTCATATTATGTTTTTGTCAAATAGATGACAATATAAAATTATTGAAACATTTTTTGTATATGGTTTAATGTTAGTTTCATTTAAATATATTAGGTATTAAAATAAAACATTAACAATATCATACATTTTCAAAACAGCTAAAATAATTATAATCTTATTTATTTGTTTAGGAAACAATTGTTATATTTTAACCAAAATGAAATTAGTCCAAATAACTACAATACAAATGAGAAATGTTAAATTATTTACAAGGTCATATAAACGTTTGTACAGTAAATGCCAGATAAATAATTATGATGTACTTGTTGTGGGAGGAGGTATTATTGGATTTGCTACTGCAAGAGCATTATTATTACGCAATAAACATTTACAAGTAGGTCTTGTAGAAAAAGAAAATAGACATTCAGTTCATCAAAGTGGACACAATAGTGGAGTTATACATGCAGGTATTTATTACAAACCAGGCTCAATGAGAGCAAAAATGTGCATTGAAGGTCTGTATAAAACGTATGAATACTGTGCTAAAAATAATATACCATTTAAAAAATGTGGGAAACTCATTGTTGCCACTGACGAATCCCAAATAAAAAGTTTAAATGACTTATATGAACGAGGATTAGAAAACGGTACTCCTGACATAAAACTGATTAATGGAAATGATATTAAGACCATTGAACCATATTGTAATGTAAGTCAGTATGAGTCTCAAAAAAACTTACAATTCAATTTTTTTTTTCTTTATTGCATTTTTTCAGGGCGTACGAGCAATTCATTCACCGCATACAGGAATTGTGGATTGGGCAGTAGTGACAAAACATTATGCAACAGACTTTGTAAATTTAGGAGGACAAATAATTTATAATTTTAAAGTGAAATCGTTTGAAGAATGCAAGAATAACAGAGCAATCAAAATAATTTCTAAAAAAAATGTACTTTTATTATAAAGTAATACATAGAAATACAAAGGGATAAGGCATGGCTTATGTTAAAATCTTTCTGACATTTTTTTCAAATGGGCAATTGCTTAAAAATTTAAGCAATACAACATGCTATCTTAATAAAGTTTCAAAAAAAAAAAATTATTCATAAAATTAAAAATATAAAAAAAATTACAGAAAGAAATATTAGCAGATTATGTCATCACGTGTGGTGGACTACAATCAGATGAATTATCATTAATGACTGGATGTAAACCTGATCCATACATTTTACCAATACGTGGAGAATATCTTTTACTTGGTAAAGAAAAAGCACACCTTGTTAAAGGCAATATTTATCCAGTAAATATAATTTTAATTGAATAAAATTAGTACACATCCATTCTTGTAGATAATACTTATATTATTATACACTATACATCATAACAGAAATTAATTATTAAATTTATTTGTTTTTCTTCTAAGGTGCCTGATCCAAGTTTACCATTTCTTGGGGTACATTTTACTCCAAGAATGGATGGTTCTGTTTTTTTGGGTCCAAATGCAGTTCTGGCTCTAAAACAAGAAGGATACAGGTTTTTAGAATAGATAATTAAAAATTAATCAATAATAAAAGAAATTAAAAAATATTAAACAATACAAGATGTTAATATATTATTTGTGTTTTAGTTGGAATGATTTAAGTGTTTCCAACACAATCAGGCTTTTAAAATTAGATGGAGTACAAAAACTAATGGTAAAACATATGAAATTTGGTATAAATGAAACAATCAAATCATTATTTCCTGCTATGCAACTTAAAGAAATACAAAATTACATTCCAGATATTAAACGAAATGATATTAATAAGTAAAATAAATAACAAAAAATATGTGTATAATTTTATTTATTTGACCTATTTTTGTTACATAAATGAATAGAGGTCCTACTGGTGTTCGTGCTCAACCACTGTGGGCAGATGGAACAATGGCAGAGGATTTGGTGTTAGACATAGCGTCAGATGATCCTTCTAATCTAGTGAAGTATAGAATAATGCATTGCCGAAGTGCCCCATCCCCTTCAGCTACATCATCATTACCAATTAGTGAAGTAATTGTTGACAAAATGTTTGCAAAATACCCACGTTTAAAACTTATACCAAATTAAGTTACCTAAAAATATCAATAATATATTTAAGTAATAATAGTTAAATTATGAAATACTTTAGTTTATTAAATAAAAGTAAGGTCTCATTTAGTAATTTTTAAAGATCCATCATTAATTTGAGTCTTTTAGAATAATATATAACCAAATTGAGTAATTATTATACATATTAAGATTAACACCCAAAAGAAAATATGGTATGAATTAATTTATATCAAATTCATATTATTACTATAATAAATATGAAATTAACAACATTCTATCTACTTGGTTTGTGTTTATTACTATTTATTATTTATTAAGTTAAATAAAAAATAATAATAACTTAGAAAAAAACACAAATTTGTATTTTATTAATTAATTCAAAACTATAAACAAAAAATAAAATAGTTCATAAAATAATAAGATCATAGTGGTCGCTAATTAAAAAATTAATTAGGCATTTAATTTTTCACAAAAAAATAAATAAATAAATACAACACGGAACAAATTATTCTAACACATTTTTGTTAAATATGAAAAAAGGTGAATAAGTAGTCAATACTCTTTGCTATCCCTGATTAGCAATTTTAAATACATAGGACTACATAAACAACAAATTTCAGCCCTTTTATCTAATAATAATTTTTTTAATTGAACTTAAGCTTTGGCGACTAGGGCTATTAACTGTTGCAGGGGTTATGAACCGTGGTAGGGGTAAGGTTGGTATGTTAGGTTGTTTTTTCATGATTGTTACGGTTGGTATTAAACACGTGTATGTGTGACAAGGTTTTTAACCACTATGAACCCGGATGGGTAACCATTCAGGAGCTAGTAGCTGTGACCGTTACTTACTCTCAGTCGCATTCCGCGACTGGTAGCAGCCAGCGCGCCACGCCAAGCCACAATAATAAATTAATAGTAGAATAATATTGAGTAACAAATGTGATTTAGGACTATACTTAACCAAATTTCAAGTGTTTAACCAAATAAATTTTCATAGTAAGACATAAGTAATAATTTAACATTCAATGTACTTATATTTTAAACTTTCTATTTTTTCTAAGTTACCGAGTTATATTTTTACAGCATATAGTTGTATAGTGTATAACATACAATAAAAGTACAAAATACTTTGGTATTTTATTGAAGTTCAACTTTATAAGTTTTAATATTATAGTGAATTGACCTTTTATGTAACTTAAAGTTAAAAACATTGTGATTTGTTACAGTTATTTTTAGATATAATAATCTTTGAAAAAAGTTATAAGTGAATAAAATATTAAAATTAAAAAATGCTTATCACTAACTTAAAAATTAAAACAAAAAACTCAAACATAGAGAATATTAGCACCTTAAGGTTATATAATAGGTCAATACATTCTAATATGCTACTAATGAAACTAAACATAACATTTGCTATATTATGTACTTCTAAGAAAAAAATGTGTGTAATACATCCTTTTAATATGTAAATAATTATTTTATAATATTTGTATACAGTTATGAAAATAAATAAATATCTACCAAACTAATTAACTATCATAACTACCTGGTACATCCCAGTTGAATGCCATACCAGGCCATAATACTGGTTTATTCATAGAACAAAATTTGTCAAATTTAGACTGCAGTTTATTTTCAAGACATTCAATTTCATTTATCTTTGAACCATAAAGTTCTATGGGATTTATCTCATCTGCGTTAATTATGCTGGAAGATTCTGTAAACATAAATTATGAAATAATTCTTTGTATTTAAAAAAAAATCTCTTAAAATTCAATAACTATATTATTTAACCTAAGTGTGTATATATAAGCTCTTAATGATAATAAATGCTCAAATCTGATATATTTTATAATACAATACTCAAAAGAATTATTATAAAATAGTCAAAAAATAATAAGGTTGAACCGTCATAGCAATCTATATACTTGAAATTATCTCTATTTTCATGAAAACAGTTTTAATTTGAATGTTACTTATTAATTTAATATTACTTAAAAAACAATCAAAATGAAAAAATTTTACCACACTTATACAATTATAAATTTAAATTTATAATATTTTATCTAATTTATAGTCAGCTAGTATTATAATTATTTACATTACTGTACAAATTTTAATGTTTAATTGTTAACATACTAAAATAATCATTATCATAAAAATCATTACCATCTTCAAAACTTGGTGAATTGCACAATCCATACTCTATGTCAACTTTTCTCTTATCTAATTCTAAAAAACAATGAAATATATATACATATATAATCTAAAATACAATAATGTTTAAAATTACTAATTAAATCATAATAATCAGTAAACTAATAAATACACCAATACTAACCTACTTTTTTTTGATGTTTCAATGTTTTTATAGAAAAGTTTAAATATTCTAAATCAATATCATCACTACTATCAGAAGAATAATCACTAGCATCGTAAACATTTTCATTCGTCCTAAAATTTCTACAAGAATTAATTTCCTAGGAAATAAATATAAAATACAATAAGTTATTATAAAAATACTTAAAAAATCTCAATAAAAAGAATTTTATCACTTTTCATAGAATTAAAAATTTTAATCCATTAGCCATTAGTAAAACGACGACGTTCACAAATTATATGACAGTTGGAGAACATGGTTAATTTATTGTTGCAGAAAAATATTAATAAAAACATAACATACTATAGTTTTACTATTAATTGGTGCCGATGATCCATTGCTATCAGTTCCTCGAGCACCTGAAATTCGATAACCCCAATCAATTATGTCCTCGTAGTTTTTCCAAAAATTCAACAAATTCTGATCCATTTTTTTACTCAAATCAAAAAGAAGCAAGAAATATTTCAAGTATTAAAAAAGACCGGAAAAATTCAAAAAAAATTACCAACAAATAAGAATACTATTATGATAACACTTATCATCTTATATTTTTGTCAGTATCTCTGAAACGGCATAATAATTGTGATAAATAATTATCAACTGCGGTCCGCAACGCACAATATTCCTTTACCATAATAATACTGATTCATTTTTTCTCGCATGGTTTTTAGAATGTCTTTGGTCCGTACATTAACGTTATCACTGATACGTTCGACATTTGTTGTTCTTCTTGTCGAACATCGTTCTCTTGTAGTTCATTCGTCGTGTTATTAAAACGTTTGAATACAAATTGGAAAAATGGTAAGTAAAATTTCATCCATTTCAATCTTAATGTAATACAAATAAAACGTACTTATAACTTGTTTTATTGCGTCTTATACTTACGTAGTTCGATAAATTTCTTAAGTTTTTAGTATAAGGTATTTCGTGACATTTATAAATCGCTTACCTATAAGCTTTAATCTACAACCATGAATTTCTAAAGTCCATTACACTTAGTTTCTTAAATTAATTTTAACTCGACGCATATGCCAAAACGTTTTTATCTGAGTTAAAATCTTACGATCTGGTACGCATTGATCACATATTCTGTCGTAATACCTAAATGGATAATCTCTAACCTCTTATTGTTCTTCCAAGGTATAAAATATATAGTAGCTTAACTTAAAGGAAAAACCTCGTTTGTCGACGTAGTAATTTAGAAAATTCGGCTTTTGTTATACTAATTATGACATTTTGTTTTAAACTTAACTGTTCAATTATCACAATACCTTATTAAACTGCCTTTATTCTATGTACATTATATTGTTGAAATAATTTTTATAAACCCTTGAAAATAAATACAAATGTTTATTTGTTCTAATGTTTTTAATACTTATTGTATTATTAATGACAGTAATTAATAAAATTACATATTGTGTATTTATATCATATTTTACCATGATATTAATGATTCCAGGTGAATGTACCTAAACAGAGACGTACTTATTGCAAAAAATGCAAAGTACATAAGGTACACAAAGTAACACAGTACAAAAAGTCAAAGGAACGTCAAGCTTCCCAGGGTCGTCGTCGTTACGACCGAAAACAAAGTGGTTTTGGTGGTCAAACTAAGCCTATTTTCAGAAAAAAGGTATATAAAAGAAACACTAAATTTATAACCAATTAGTTTTAAAAAATATAAATTATTGTTTACTAGGCTAAGACAACCAAGAAAATTGTATTGAGGATGGAATGTTCCGAATGCAAATACCGTAAACAAATTCCATTGAAACGTTGCAAGCATTTTGAATTGGGAGGTGACAAGAAACGAAAGGTTAGAAAAATTGTTTATAAAAATGTGATTCTTATTACTTAATTTTATTCATTTTATTTTTCAGGGACAAATGATCCAGTTTTAAGTCTAAACATATTTTTGTTACTTTTAAGACCAATATATAAGTGCATACTGCAAATTGCTTTTTTTATTTCTCGTTAATATTTCTTATAATTTTCCTTACTGTTATATTTCCTATGACATTCCCTTTCATTAGATTATAATTTGGTTTAAGAATTTTGTTGGGTACAAATAATACATCGTGTTTTTTATTTTGTCTAAAATTAAAGATATTGCTCTAGATACTTAATATAATAAAAAATATCTTATTAAAAAAAAATTGTAATAATATTCTATAAGCAAGTATTTTAATTCTTAAAGAGTAATATGAATTTTGATTGATTAATTGTTTTGTTAAATTAATTTAAAGTTAAAATATTTTTATCACTTTCAATTACTAACAACTGATTATTACACACTTAATGTTAATCTAATTTACTTCGATTACTTGAACTAATTTCTGAATGTGATCCGAATTATGAATAATTAAAAGGAACATGGTAACGTATCATCTTTTGGTTACTAATGTTATGTGATACTCATTTAATAGAAAGTTAAATTTTGATGAAAATAATTGAGTAGTTGTTAAGATCTAAATACCACGAGATAATTTTGTTTATACATTTATTTACTTATAATATTCGTTAAAAATTGTATTAATATCAATTAATATTAAATAATTACTTAGACCTATGATAAAATTTATTACTAATCTTCACAGATGAATTGGAGATAAAAAAGTGATACTAAAAAAAAACCTTTTTTTTTGTATTTATTAAATTTTATTATTTCAACATAATCTATGTTTTTAAATTTTATTTTTTTATATATATATAATAGAGTATACAAGAATTATAATAGTGTATAAAATAATTTATAAATTGTTTTAATTTAACAAAATGTACTTAAATTATGAGTTGTTTTAGTAGGTCAGTGTTCTGATGATACTGGAGGTTACTAATTTAAGAGCCTCAAAACTTATAGGGTTATACAACTGACCATTTAATGTAATATAAATCTAATAATAGATAATCCAGTTAACATTTTCAGAAAATAAATTTTTAATATTTCATGAGCCAGTGATTATTTAGTTTTTTACAAAATTTTAAACTTTGAAGTTATGAGAAGAAGAAAATTGCTTAAAAAACATTAATTTGTCACTTTTTAAGAATATTCTTTCTGAAAATAATGCAGATTATTATATTTATTTTAATGTATCATGTATTATTTATCAATATTTAATAAAAATTACTAGGAAAGATCTTTTTGATTAATTTTCATACCCAAAAGAATTAAATTGTTAATCACTAAAATTTTCATGTTAAACTTTGAATATAAAAATAAATATCAAATTTTTACATAGTGAACTATTAAAAACTGTAAGTCATTGTTATTTTTTTAACAATTAATTATTTATTTAATAATATTTAAAAAATAAAATCTAAGAACATCAACCTACTAAATGTTACAATTACCTATACTATTATTAAAAGAAATACACTATCTTTTATTTATAAATTTAATAGCTTTTTGTGTCATCCATTTTCTCTTTTCTACTATGTTAGTATCTTGTTATTGTTTTTATAAACATTTATAATGTTGATATTATTGAATAAATAATATCTGTTAATATTTCTTAAAAACTATAATAAATACAGTATAAATTGAATGTAAAACAGATATGTATTATCAGTGATTAAAATTCAATTTCTTATCACAAAACTAAATTAGAAGTTTGAACATTGACCACAATCAAGATTTAAGAGTCAAGAGTTAGACTTTCAAGTTTCAATTTTTAAATTTATGTGGTTGTCTTAATGAATTTCGTATTTTGTCTAATATTAATAATACACAATTCTTAGTTCTTAATTTTACTTAAGTATTAGTAGTAGATCTTCAAACAAACAAAAATGGAAAAACTTAAAAAAGTAAGTATCTATTTAATATTTTTACGTAGTTATTAAATTTTTTTTATCCTGGTTATTTTAGATTCCTCCAATGGAACAACGTCAATTAGTTACCTATATTAATCATTTTATTACGTCCACTGTAACATTCTTAAACAATTTCATGATACACTGTGAAGCCAAAATGATGAAATCCGAACAACGATTACAAAAAATTTCAGCATCTCTGTGTATATTAGAAACTAAGGTACAACTTAACCAAACATAACACAACATATTTATACATAATATAATTTGTATTTTAGTTAAATTCTGTTCCTGAACTTCAAGAACTCCAGCAACCTCAAATTCAAACAGCTGAACCTTCTGGAAATCATTTAAAAGATTATTCTCATAATAAAACTAAAGAAACTGATGGACTTATTAAAACTGAAACAACTGATAAACATAGTAAAATTAAAGAAAATATTATATCAGAACCAACTGTTATTGATGAAAGTACTAATGAGCCCACTGTAGATCCAACAATATTAAAATATCGTAAAATGATTCAATTTGGTGTGCCTAGAGGCGCTGTTGAACTAAAAATGGTTAATGAAGGATTAGATCCAAAACTATTATGATAAATTAAGTATTTATGTATCTATTATTATTTATAAATTTATAATTTGTTATATAGTGGTTAATAAAACTAAACATCAAGAAAATCATATTTTTTTACATAAACATATTGTTACCGCATAATGGATAACTTAATTGTGTATGCACCATTTTTATTTTTAATAAAAACTAGGAGACTCGTAACATATTGCAATACATACATATGTTATCATATTTTTTTATACATAATAATAATGTACTAACATTTTTATATTTTGTTCTAAGGTACTATTGTCTATTACCCTTCAATGTACAAAATAGGTATTTCCTGTCTCCTCCATAAATATGTCATTGTTATGTCACTTGTGATAAAATGATTAATAATTATTTTTATAAGACTTATATAATGATAAATTGTTATAAAAAAAATTATAGTTATTACTTTTTACATACCTATTTTTATGTTTAAATTATACTGTATTTAAAATGTAATTATAAATTTATATATATATTTTTTACTGAACTGTGAATATATTATATTTTGGGAAGATTTTAAGAATTTATTTTATAAAATAATTTTATAATTTTAATTATTTTGCAATATAGATGGAGACAATGATTACCTGTTTGTAAATGTACATTAAATTACGGTTCTTTGACAATAACTACATGTGGTTGGAAAAAACCAAATTTGACAAAGTTTGAAAATCGGAATTTTGATTCTGAATTTCGGATTTTGGATTTTGAAACATTAAATGAGTTCAATAGTTCAAATATACAAATTCATAAATTTATGCTGAAAATAATTATTTTTGTATCAGGTAATATTTGTATCATATGATAAAATGTGAGCTATATGAATCCATGTCGGGATCCGCAGTTTGGCCACCCCTGGTATAGACTATAGACTATAGAGTATATAGGTAAATTATAAATACTATTATCATTAATTTTAATTTATAATCTATGCTTTTATAATTCTATCTATAAAAAAGGGTATTATTTTCCCGACTAACAGTAAAAATTAACGCCATTAACAACGGCCTCTTTCTCTAATCATGACTATATTATAGCCAATTACGTGCAAATGTGTACAATTCTTTAATAAAATCTGTTCATCGGTTATAAGAAGATTCACTGTGACTCTTAATTATAATATTAAAAAATAAAAATAATACTAAGCGTGCTAAATATTGAATATTATTGTTTAATAGGTATTATGACTTATAACTGAGCTATGAGTGATTAAATCAGATTGTATACTTAGTATTTACTAAAAACAAAATTATCATTTGTTCGGAATTTTGGCACGTTATGCATGAATATTCATCACTAGTACGTGGGTGACTTAATAGTAAATAATTATTTAATTATTAATTCATACATAATATGTGAGCAATTATTGCAGTAACACTATTATTATACCTAATAGTAAAATAATAAATGGAGTTATACCAATTTGCATATAATGATTTGTATTTAATATTATAAAATATAAGGATTACATAACATACAATTTATTACCCATAAACTAAACAGTTAGGTATTCCTACTAAGTACTAACTATAGTAAGTACAGATGAGAATATTAATTACTAAGTATAAATACTTTGTGAAATTTTTTATATTATGGTTATGGTATATACCGTGTGTTTAGTAATTTAGAGAATATTGAATTTCTTGGTCAGATTGAATTGGAATAAATCGAATTTTTTTTATAAGCTAGTGGTATGTATAAATACATATTTGTAGATAAATTTTAAAACTTTTATCATTTACAATAAAAATATTAATTTTTTTAATAACAACGCCATATTTGGATAGGCCTATTTTTTTAAAGTAATTTTGATGTATCAACTAGGGTTTTAAATTAAAAATTGATTGAATAAAAGCGATTTTCCTTTTTAATAAATAAATACATTTTTACCATGCATTTAAGTGCATAAATTAATTTATAAATTATAAATATTTATTATTGGTTAATTTTTGATTGTTTAAACGTATTTTTTTTTTATTAGATACGTGTTATAAATAAGATTTACATAATAATATATGGGTACACATATCGTACATTTGTTAACTAAATACTATTTATAACAGTTATTTAATTAGTTTATAATTATACAATTTATTAAATAAATTGCTCAAAGTTTCTTCCATTAATTTCTAGACATAATTGAAATCTTTGTAGATATTCTCTATTGATTGTTAACATTATTTGACTTTCAGTTATGTTATTAAACAATACACGCAACCACGATTTTGTTTATTACATCTGCAAGACTATCTGATGGTAAGCTATCGTATTTAAATTCCTCAAAACAAAAAAATCAAATGGAATAATATCTGGAGATCTTACTATGGTCATTGAATGAGTCTTATTTATAACACGTAAAGAAAAAAAAAAACATTCAAAAATTAATTAATAATAAATAATTAAAATTTATAAATGATTTTATGCACTGAAATGCATCGTAAAAATGTATTTATTAATTAAAAAGGAAATTGCTTTTATTCAGTAAATTTTTAATTTAAAACCATAGTTGATACATATACATCAAAATTACTTAAAAATTAGGCCTATCCAAGTATGGTGCTCATAATAGGTGTTGCTATTAAAAAAAATATTTTTATTTCGCATACGCATACTGAAATGATTAAAGTTTTAAAATTTATATACAATATACCACTAGCTTGTAATAAAATTAGATTTATTCCAATTCAATCTGGTCAAGAAATTCAATGTTCCCTAAATTGGTGATCACGCGGTATAATTTATTACAATAAATATTAATAAATTACGTGACATAAGTGACAAACAAAATAACAAATATATTATTATTATTACTTTTTTGTTTATTTTACTAAATATTTATAATTGGGTTTTAAAATACTAAGAAATAAGAATTTAAAAATATTAAGATTATTTATGTGAAACAATTAGGTAATTACCTAAACAATTTAAGAAAACCATTTTCAAATAAATTTCATGACGAATTCAAATATTTTTTAGATATTTTATTGGATAAATAGATTAGTACGTATAAAGGTAAATACTATATTAAAAATAATTAATAAAAAATTTATACTTTTAATCATAAAAAAAAAAAAACAAAATAATTAATATTTATGCTGTGTGTTATAAACACAATATGCATACATAATATGCGAGTGGGAACACTTTGCTATTTAATTTACACACACTGACACACTAATGAATAATGAGTAGTATAATCACTTCTTGAATCGTTATAGTTAATACACACACATGATCACACTCTACACATACAACCCCTTAGATAATTGATATTGAATTATCGGTGATACTGCTGGACGCTGGTACTATGCCTAATTACCTTAAAGTTTTAAAAATTATCCAATAGCTTAGAGGTACAAATAATTTTAGTAATTCTAAAAGAAAATTAGTAAGTGTAGGGGACACTTTAGCTTGGACAGGTAAAATTACGTTCACACTAATAATTTTATTACGTGTAGGTATTATAATTTTATGTGACTGGTAAAATGTGACTATAGCTGGTCTAAACTGAACGTTTTTTACATCGGTTTTTAATCACTCTCCAAGTATCCGACTAATTGCTCGACTTCACAATAAGTAGAGGGTACCTACATGTTTTTAGATTCGTCTGGTTTTTTAGCGAGTTGCGATTTGGAACCGCGGTCGTCGCGGTCGTCGCGGTTGACACAGTCGTCTGCGTCCTGCGAGACGTCCGCCAGAACGCAACGACCGTTCTTATATAGAAGTATTAGAAATTAGAAGTGTTCGTTGTTTAAAACATAGATCGGCTTTAACTTTTAAGGTTTATTACTTATGGGTTTTCCCGCGTAGTGTTGACATTTTAAAATAATAGTTTTTTTTTTCGAAAATTATAAACGGATGAATTCGGTCGATACGGTCCCGGGGCATCTGTATTTTGTCTCTTCCATGCGAATGCCGTTATCACACGTTTCGGTTTATCATTTTTTCGATATTATAAACATCAAACAAATGTTATAAATTATATTTTTTACTTACTACAACAACTTTGTACCGACTAGCAAATATTTTCATACTATTCATAATCGATTTCTTTAAATTAGCCTCGATTTTATTATGTGATTTTTAAATAACAATAATAATTTTAAAAAACACACAGCTTACTCTTTCACGCCCATTAAATTTACCCGTTGAAATGGAAGACTCTCCTTCAATAGAAACCGTATACGAAGCTATTTACACGCTCTATAATCAAAACACTAACCCCGCCGAAAAGCAGCGAGCCTCAAACTGGCTTAATGAAATGCAGAAGTCGGTACGTAGCCTGTTGACCAAACACTGCGGTAAGATTGAAAACCAAAATTATAATCTATTGTATTTTGTTCACTACATCAGGTTTACGCATGGAAAATTGCTGATGAACTGTTGGCCAGGAAGGTGGACCTGAATTCATGTTATTTAGCGGCACAGACTATGCGTTCCAAATTACAAAATTCCTTTCATGAACTACCTCAAGATTCACACGCCTCATTACGTGATGCCCTACTGAATCATTTGTCAAAATTAGATGATACCACTGATGGTGTAATTGCTACACAGGTATCTTCTAAGTTTTAAGTATATAATAATATATTTTGATATGTTTCTAAATATTGTTCTTGTACTCAATGAATCATGTTTGTGTTTTAGTTGTGCGTTGCACTGGCACACTTAGCTCTCCAAATGGGTTCATGGAAGAATGCTGCTGTAGATATTGCTTCACGATATAATTCATTGAAAACATGTTTCATATTAGAGTTGTTGACTGTGTTGCCAGAAGAAGTCAATTCTCGAACACTGCGTTTGGGTGCTAATCGTCGATCTGAAATTTATAATGAATTTAGTGATAACTTACCAGCTGTTAATCAACTACTAGAGTTGTGTTTGACTTCTGAAGCAAACAATAATCGTATCAAAATTCGATCATACAAGTGTTTTGCATCATGGTTGAACATCAGAAGTGTATCGTTATCACAAGTGTGGCACAGCAATGTGCTATCAAGTGCATTTAATGTGTTGTGTAGTTTTGATGTAAAGATGTATTTAATTTTTAAATTAAGAAAGGTTCGTAAATGTTTATTTGTATTATAGGGGTGTAATATGATTCAAGAAGCAGCTGCAGATGCAGTGATTGCATTCCTCCAG